AATAGTTTTATGTAGATTTGCACATGTTGTTGCATTAATTAAATTCCTTCTTTACGTAACAGGACATGGACCTTGACATGGACGATGACATGGACATTGCAAAATGTGATTGCGGTAAGTATTGTAAATATGTTCACTTTATAGTTGTAATAAGCAGAGTTGTATTGTAGAGTATTTTATTTATATTCAACGTTATAGTAATGTCATGTTTTCAACGTATATATCGTTTCTAGTAAAATGTTATAGTTTTACCGTCTTTTTTTCCATATAAGTTAATCACTCGTTGTAATGAATTCGAATACATTGATATATTCCGTCTTAAAATCTCTTATCAATTGTAATTTTTGAATATACATTTATGTTAACTCTCATGACTACGTCTCCGAGTTATTTGTACTCCTTTTAGTGTTGTAGCCACTGTTCTGATAATAGATTTTATATAGCTTCTATATGTACCAAAAGTAAAGCCTAATTATGTATGCGGAGTTCGTTTCTGTTTACCCATTTGAGATACAATTACTATAGAAATATATGGCTGATAACGTTTACAAACAAATATTTTAAAATATTCAAGACATTTCGCGACCTTGTTCTTATGTCAAAAATACGTCACAGATGAGACAAGTTGTGTAAATCAATTTGACATCAAAATAATCCCGATATGTGAGAAATACTTGCGTTCGTATTCATTTGAAAGTTGCTCGTCCAGGAAGACATGAATTTGACCCATCGTTGCCAAGATATGACAATTCACAGCTAGATTGCTAAGTTCAGAGGCAATTAAGATCTAGAATAATATTCAATGCTTAAAAATTGCAGTAAGAACATCTATTGTGTTGTAAGAAACATGTTTACCAAGCTTTTTTCCTTATCTAGTTTAGTTTTCAATTCTGTTTTTATATTATAAAGATAATATTATCACCACACTTTGCTTTAAAATTTGGATATGGCATTTATCAATGTGTAAATATGATAGTTATTGTAATAACATGTGCATAAATCGCATTTTTTTTAAAGATTTTCGCAACAGAAATTGCATTCAGTCGTAATAAACTGCTATCTGAAGTTGAAAACACTTTTCTATTTCATTTCATATATATACAACAAAACTGTTTGTATGAAAAAAATAATTCTGTTGAAAGATATATTACAAATATGAAGCAAGATGAAATTGTAATTGCACACAGTCTTTACACAGTTTCTAAATTTTAATGTGATAGCAATACCATACATGCAAGCCTAACTACGTTGTCAGAAGCTGCAAAAGAAAACAACCTGTCATTCTTGTTGATAAGGTTTTGGTTCAAAAAATTACGAAAGTGAAACCACTTTTGTGTCTTTAATTAAAAGACAGATTACTTTGGTTTAAACAAACGGCTATTCATATAAATTTATGCAATAAAACAGAAAGGTGTTTTTGAATTCTGATTGCAGTTCACCACATGGAAATACTATTCCTGACGCTACAGCTTTGTATAGACTGCAACTGATACATGTTAGATATTTCGTCATTAACAGCCATATAGCTATATTCGCTGATTAATACCTTATCTAAATACTATAGCAAGGTGTGTTGATGTTATTATCTTCATAAAATGAAAACAGAAATTTAAAACTTATAACAAAGTCGGGGAATGCTTAGTAATTTAATTGTTACTACACTAATAGTATGCTGCTCATAAAATCACGGCAAAAGTAACATAACACAATCTCTAGATTATAAAGAATGTTAAATAAATGAACATACCGCAATTATTGAGCATTGAAACTTATCCCAGATCATAACTGCCTTTGAAATTGGTTACCTAGCTGTGAAGTATCTTGCCTTGGCAACGGTGGGGTAAATTCTATTCTTGTACGAGCAATTTTCATTTGAACATAAATGCGGTATTTTACAGATATTCAGATAAATTTGTTGTCAAATTGATTTACATAACTTTTTTCACCAATGACGTATGTTTAAGATGACAGAAAAGGTCGCCAAATGCCCTAAATATTTAAAAATCCTTGTTTATAAACGTTATCCGCCATGCATTTGTATACATATATATTTTAAGCACAGAATTGTGACGTATGGAATGCACTGTTGGTACTGTGAATTATCCAAGATGATACAGATACAGAGATTATATTACAAAAATGAGATTATTCTCTATTGAACTATATAATACATGAAAGGCAGCCTGTAATATGAAAGCCTAATAATTTATTGACTCGAAGCCAAATATGACCAACAGAAAAGCGTGTCTGGAGGTCAAAGAACGTATATCACTCGCGCAAAAACAGACCGTAGAAGAGACTTACTAGTAATTAAGTTTATGCCGAATTATTTTTATGATTAAATTGATTTTGTTTAGAGAAAGAATTATAGTAGAAAAGTATTTTGGCATTAAACGTAACGGGGCTTGATCTTTATTCAGTCTATATGAAGCTTTCTATTGAATACGTTTTTTGAAATGGAAAATATTAACCATGAATACGGTAAAAAAGAGCAACATCATTCATTTGTTTGTATCTGAAACATTGCAGCAAGTACCAGTTTATTTCAAAAAAATTCAGTTAGATGTATTCAATAATTTACATGAGTTTCTCCTTGGAACACTTTAGGCTTTGTACGTAAACCTTTTAACAGAATCTATTAGATTTTGCACAAAATTGATGTTCGAAATAGGGTTGAAGGTATGTGTAATTTCAACAACGGTAATTTATCTGGAAATCATGAAAGGTTAAAAAAAATTTAGATGAAAACTTAAAAAATTAAACGCTTTGAAAGAATGTCCTTTGCTGCTTCATCAATTTATATAACATGTGAAGGGTATTATTTTATTTATCATGTAAAACAAAGTTTTGTGTAAGTTTGTAGCCACTGAAAATTGTGTTTTTCTGAAAGTAAATTTGTACGTACACGGAAACAACTAATAATAATTTAATAGTAAATCATTTTTAAAATTTGTTTTTGCCAAATAGAAACAAAAAAGTATTTGTGTTTTGGTTTCGAAGCTTTGCAGTTTATAGCTACAAGCTATTTTTTTGTACACTTCCATTGGACGTATGTTAACATTGCGTGGAAAGACTGAGCTCTACTGGCATCAAAATATCTGCTGGCGTAGCCTTCAATCTATTTAGTTTAACGGTTTGAATTTATCCTATCAAGTTTTATATAAAAGAGAAACAAACAGCAATCAAATTGAACATATATTTGAGTGATATAGATGAGGAATCGCGAATTTATTCACCGATAATTGTTTTCGCAAAATGGTCACTTCGTTTATTCATACGTTTTATTGCTAGAGATATTGTGCTCTTTTCATATATGCTTCTCGAATGGTTTACTATATCTGAACAAAGCATCCTACGGGCTGCTGAAATGTAGCGCTAAGAAAAAATTGAAGTAATTACATTTCTATTGTTGATTCAGCTATATCATGCAGTAAACATTAATATTAGTAATAAACTGTGTGTTTTTTAGTGTCCATTGCATAACTTTTTTTTTGAATTTGTTGGTAATGGATAATAAAATTTAGGGTTTAAATGGATAGTTAAAGTGTTATGTCATGTGATGGGTATTGTCTCTGTATGAGGGCTCAATGCGGATGTTTTTAATAATCATTCATTCAATAGAAATTAGATGAATATATATATTTGACATTTTATATGATGACTGCATTTTGGAACATAATGGAAGTAAAAGTAAAAAAATCTCATATTCATGCACATTATACTACTTAAAAAACCACTTTACTGCCTATTAAATAGTTCATGCATTATCATAATATGATACACAAAATGAAGTTGATCCAGCTAGATGTTAACATAACAGATAATTTTTAGCAATGAAATGATGAATTTGAACAAGTGACTATTTCACACAAATTCCCGTCATGTCAACGAATTCACACAAATTTATGCTAAAAATTATTGCTGTATGTTTCTTTTTCTAACAAAAAAATGATTGGATAAATTTTGAAACAGTCAGTTTGCAAACACTACAAAAAATTCATTTTCATAACATAATTTAATATATATATCTTTTACCCTCTTATTTCGCTACTTATAGATGTATATACGTATGTTTAATACGTTTATATTTCTGAAGTAATTTTTATATCTCGTGGGTAACCATTAAGGAATTTTGCATATATACTATACTATATCAAGTCTATTTTCAGATTAGTAGTTGTCGCTAGGGCAGTCCATTTGAAAAGCTGTTGTAATGAATTAAAATTATATTAACATATTCCCTCTTTAACTGTTCATATCAAGTGCGATTTGAATATACATTTATCTTTACACTCACGTCAATGTTTCTGAGTTATTCAGAGGCCGCGCAAGCTCTGCCTCTGCTATTTGTATGTTTTTCTAGTGTTTTAGCTATTTAAGCAGTTTTATCCTGCAACATAAATTGTTTTGTATTCACTAGTAAAAAAGAACAATTTACCATACACTAACAAACAATGAAAACATAAAATTTACATATCAGTACGGCAGTACTAAAACTTGCACTCTGACAAGGGCACAGAAAGTAACTACATTTTGTGAAAAATGAAAAACTATAGTGTTCTTAAAGCATTTAAACATTCTGTGTTTTATGGATGTGTTTGCTTGGGGCTTGGGTGAAAGCGCAAAAAATATTTATTGATATACAAGCAATTTAAAAATAGAAATGTGCATGTTTTTTGTTTATTGTGGCAAATTGCCAAAGATCTTTCATTAAAAAATAATAGTTTGACTAAGAATTAGTGTATTGTCCTTGTTAAATGTTATTCAAATTAAAGGGTATTAATTCATACAGCGACGGAATGGAATATGTCACACGAGCGTATGATGTAGAGAAACCATGTTTTGTATAGTAAAATATAACATTTCGTATGATGTAGAGATAAAACATTTCCGGCTGATGTTCTGATTTAACAAGTTACTGTTTGCTGCCTAATCTTAAAACCCTAATCACTGACGATTTTGTTCAATGCGTATAACTTATTACTTTCATTTTTAATTCAGGAGAAAGCAGTAATGTCAATAAACAAGATAGTGAGGAAGAGGTAATTATTTTAATTATGATTTATCAAAGCAGTTTTCTTTCCTTAATACAGAAATATCAGACGATGTAATGGGGGAGGTAGTTTGTCTTAAAGTATCTTTACTGTAGTCGAAATGAGCCACTACTATAAACATCACTTGTTAAGTGAGTTTGTATGGTAAAATGTTGTAAGTTACTATTGCAAAAGTAACTAGTTTCAAAAGCATTTTACGTACCTATACAAGTTCCGTTAACGGTAACTCGTAATATGTTTCTTAAACGTGTAACATTTACAGTAACTATTTACAGGTAATCATATTATTTCCAATATACGGTCAACAGTAACTCATTTTTGAGTTGAATATTTCGACAGTTAAATTAAAGCTTTGTTAAGGCGTATTGTCTGGGCGAAAGCGAGGTTTCACATATTATCATACATACCTTTGCTTTTATCAAGTTAACGATATAATAATTGAACGTTTCTGTTTTAGCAAACGATTGACTTGCAAAGTTGTTCGGAAATGACGGAAATGATCCAACGAAAGATCGTCAATACGGAGGCATTTCCTCATTTCCGATCTATTCTTCAACATTTTCTTCGTTTTCCAAGTATGTTGTCTATTTCATGTGGATCTTTTCGTAGTGGTGTAGCGTATGTTAAGTTTTGTTAACTTCAAGTGCCCCATTTTTTCTCCGCTCCACCACTGACCTTTTGTTGAATATTTTAACAAGAAGACAGTTGATACTTTGTTATATCTATCTGCCTTTGATGGTTTAGTAAGTGAAAGGAGCCTTTTTGAATTTCAAAGTTTACCTTTAACACTGTAAACTATTTATTTAGACGAAAATAGGGAAGCAAGAAAAATATGGGCTCTTGTGGATGGAGTAATCCAAAAGATGACAGTTATAAGTGCAGATGGCGAAGGTTTCAGAAATTGAAATGAAGATTTTCATTTTAATGGTAATCTTCGGTGCTAATGTGCCGTGTATTTTAGATGTGGAAGAATTGCGAAAAAGACTCGCTAAGCTTGACATAACAATTGACTAGCAGCACAAGAAAAGGTCTTTTTTTTTACTTTTTATTTTTTATTTTACACTATCTTGGTATGATTCCCATTATAAATCTTGTTTTTGGTTAAAGGACGGAGTAAAGAAAAGATGAATATGAATTAGATAAAATAATGAATTAGAACGTGAGACTGCAGAGAAGAATGAGGCATTTAAAAGAATTCAGGAGCTCGACAGCAAAGTCAGCAGTGCTGCCATTCTTGTAAAGCAATTGTCAATGTTTTATGATATCATATTTTTGTTTCATGTGGAGATTTTTTTATTTCCTAGCTTGAAGCTTACAAAAAAGTCTTGGAAAAACTTAAAGAGATTGTCGAAAAATCTGGTGGGAAAATTCCTGAAGATTGCAACGTTGAGCATTTTGTCAAGAATAGTACTGGTGCCCCACTAAAAATTCCTAATCTTGAAGAACATGCTGGTCCACCTCCCCCTTCTCCGTTAGCTGGATTACTTCTGGTGTCACCATCACCTACACCTTTTGGGGATGCAATACCAGGTGACATTTTTATTTGCGTACAATAATTTTGATTATTGTGATGTTCTGCACTGAACATCCATCATTTACTCTCTCTTGTTTTTCAAGGTCTATCACTTCCCCTTTGGACACTTATAAGCCCCTGGCATACCAGGTGCATTAAAAAAAGGAAAGGCAAATGTACCAAAGCCTTCGCAACATTTGAAAGCATTTAATTGGTCGAAACTGACTCATGTAATTGAAGTGTTATGTTATGTATTGACATTGTGAGCGATGTCATTCATTAAAATTTAATATTGTCATGCATGTCTCTTTATGTACAGAAATTTTCTTGTCTTGACCAAAATAAAAGGAACAGTTTGGACGGAAATCGACGACTCGAAGGTACCGATTTTTTGTTTCGTTTCGAATGTTTTTTAAAGCAATACTTTCTTGAAGGTGTTTCATTCAATTTATTTACTTTTTGCTTGATCAGATTCATGAAATAATGAATTTTAACGACTTTGATCGCATGTTCTCATCATATTAAAAATCTAAGAATGACCAGGTACATTTTGTGTTCGTTTTACACTTTTTTCAATGGTTTATATTCTTTGTTGAGAGCAATTTTGATTGTTCATTTCAGAAAGACGGTGGTGCAGAAGCTTGTGTGGCTCCGGAACAAAGGCAAAGAATTGTCATTCATAGATAGTAGGAAAGCCCAGGTTCGGTGATGCTATCAAATATGTTGAGTTGAGAAGTGGTTGTTGTATTAAAATTTGCATCGAGATCTTGTTTTTGTTTAGAACTGTCAAATTTTGTTATCAAAACTAAATAGTTCTAACAAACAGTTAGCGCGAGCTGTTCTCACCATGGATTGGTATGGCGAATTATCTGTAGAAATGCTCGAACAGGTAAAATTTCACTTCGAATTCTTACATGGGAATTGAACATTTTTACTAACGAATCTATCTTCATCCTTTTTGTTTAGCTCTTAAAGCTCATACCCCCTACAAAAGAAAAAAATCTGCTCGATGATCATAGTTAGAAGAAAGAACAGTTTGCCAAAGCAGACAGATTTTTATACGAAATGTCCAAGTATGTCGTATATGTGACGTGACTGCTTTAATTTCGTGTACCAAACGTACAAATCTTTTTTTTGCTTTTAGAATCAACCGTTACAAACAACGATTGGCAACTTATTTTTACGTCAAACGTTTCCCAGAACGAATGGGCGATATAAAAGCAAAATTTAAACGTAAAAGATCATAGATTTTCTGGGAGGAATTCCAATCTCTATACTTACATAAATAATAGCAAACGCAATTAGGATTTGTTTTAGACGCAGCACACTTTCAAAAAAATTATCTCCAATTATAAGGTAAGAGTAATATAATTAAAAAAAATACATCCGACATGTCACGCGGACATTCTCAAAGTACCTTTTGAAATCTTATCCGAACGTAGCAAGCCCGTGCACTCACACCCTAAATAGTAATTGGGACTCCATTGTTTTAAATGATGTCATTTTATTGTTTGAAGTAAATGTCTGTTGTACATGACTACCATACACCTTTATTTCAACAGCTGTGATAGAAGCATCTAAGCAAGTGTTCCGCAGTAGAAAATTTGGTGATTTACTTGAAGTTACCTTGGCCTTTGGAAATTATATGAATCGCGGCGCAAGAGGAAACGCTACAGGGTTTAAAATTGCCTGTATCAATAACGTCCTTTTCACAAAATGGAGTTCGAACAGCAAAATTAATCTTTAGATTACTTGGTCATGCTTTTGGAGAAAAAGGTTTGTGTGGAAGTATTTATAGATTCACTTTTAAAAATTAGCTTTTATGGTCTCCCTTGGGTTCTTGCAGTTTCCGGCCATACTGCAACTAGGGGAAGAAATGGGAGATGCTAGGACAGCTGCTAAAATCAGTTTAGGATAGAATGGGATCACAATTTATGGATTTTTATCATTGATATGAAAGATCTCTTGCTCCATCGAAATTTTTTCCAGTCTTGTAGAGTTAGAGAAAGACGGAAAGAATTTTAAAACAGAACTCAAAACAGTTGAAAAGGTTTATGATTTGTCGTTAAAAAAAGGGAAAGGTCTTTAACTTACAACTGCTTCATTATTTCTTACAGGAGTTTGATTATCAGTGTAAAAAGAAGGGTAAATTATCTGGTGATGATTTCCTTCAAGAAACTGTGACATTTTCCACAGCTGCACAAGCGTCGTTCAACGAACTTGATGATTCCTGGAAGGACATGAAAACAAGAGTGAGAATTTTGATTCATTTATATCTTCGGCCATGAAAAAGGACTCATTAAATATGTTTCTACTTTTAGTAAGAGAAATCTGTCCCGGCGTTTGGTGAACAACCGAAGACCATTACCTCGGAAAACTTCTTTGGCATTTTTTTACACATTCTTAGTATCTTTTGCCGTAAGTGTCTTTTTGTTGCTTTAGTTCTTTTCAACGCATGCGCAGTAGATATAAATTAAGAGTAAAATGACAGAACTGAAACTTCATTTCAGGAGGCGAACAATGAGAATGAAAAACAAAAAAGAAGAAACTAGAGAAGAAAAAGAAACTAGATGAAGCTCAGGTTAAAATCAATGTAATTGTCCTTTTATACATTGAAGAAGTAGCTACCATAACGATGTCAAGATAAACATGGGCTTCATTCCTGCGATAAAAGGGGGGAACCATATTCTTGTATTCTGTTATGCCACGCTGAGTTGTATTGAAAAGAACCTAGACAAGCATAGCAGAATAGATGAATATGGTCCACCGTTCTTAAGGAAGAATTGACGCCTATGAGAGTGGATGATTTTTTCATGTGTTTTCAAGCTATAGTCCCTTGCCATAGGTCTGACATACTGTATTTTGTGGCTTACAACCGACTAGTTGGTTTGATTCAATAATTACAACTGTTAATGAATAACTTTGAAAACATCACATCTTTATTACATGTTAGTAGACGTTGTGTTGGTACATGCAGATTTGTGCAGTCCTAAAAGACTGTTAATGTTGGTATTGACTTCCGTTTCAATATCTTATCGTTAAACATCACTGGTCATTTTGACTCTGAAAGACTGCACTAACTACACTAACTATATCTACAAATACATAAGGATACTCACGAGCTTAAACAATATGTTTCAATATTTTCATAAAAACATCGATTTTCTATTTTCCAGCAAAAGGAACGAGATCGCCAAAAGAAGGTGGCAAATAAAGTAGCGAGTTTCAAAAACGTAAACCGTACAAACGATTGCGAATCAAACAGGAGGGAGTTCAATGACTTTATATCGGCATTAAAATCTGGTGACGTATTTAGTGACGACGCAAGAAATACGGGGGGCATCGTAAGGTTAAAGCAAGTAGAGAAGTTTGCCGTAACATTTAGAATTACCACGTATAGTATCACTACACATTACAGAGTAATCTTTAATTAGTAATGCTGTGGAGAATAATACATCATTCACATTTTTACAGATTTTTATAGTAAAAAGGTTGTGTTTGAAATATTCCAATAGATTAATGTTTCAGTTAATCAGATTCGTGAGAGATTTCAGTCTTATTATTGAAATCCCCGTGTCAGCAGATTTCACATTTTAGATGTGTATATTGTTTAAGCTCTCGTGAAAAACAATGTCTGTCAATTACACCTTTAATACAACCAATCACAGACGAACAGCCAGCTTGCACAATGAGTTATTTTTATTTTATCGACTTTCTTCATCGAAGATGGCCATTAACTTAGATTTAAGAAATTGAACACATCTAGTTGGGGGTTGAAGTTAATCCATGTTTATACCGATGGTTATGGGATAAAAACTGACATGGTTTAAAGTAACTCTAATTAAGCAAGCATTAAAATTTAACAAAGGGTTAGGCAACTTATATGTCAATTAGTTCCAGTGGTTCCAGTACTTTGGAAAGAAGTCACAAAAAGCTTTGTAAAATAACGTCTCTTAAAAATGAATTATATATTCTCAAGATACAAGAAGAGTTCTCGATGCCGAAGACTACTGTTACAATTATTATAGAAAACACAAAATCACTCATTCAAGACACATTAAAAACGGTGGAAACAAAAGTAAAAGGCGATTAGGTAATGAAAATATTTCGTGTCAAAATGTGCCTGGGATGCAAGAGATTTTTAAAGAGAACCATGCAATAGCCAATCCATTTAAAAACTTGGAAATTAAAGCTCAACAACGACGTTTCTACCATAACAATTTTGGATTAAAGGTATTACATGTAATTAACGAGAACGCATAAACATATGGTAAAACAATGAAAAAGCTATTACTAGACGTCTTTGCTTTTTTTAAACAGGAAACACCCAGAGTTATTCTCCGTCAAAGAAAGTCTTCGAAAGAAGAAATGGTGTATTAAAGCAAATTCCAGTTAATGATCAGGCATATTATATACCACTTTTGGATAGTCTGCAACAGCTTCTAAATGACGACTTCATTTTAGCAGACGACTTCATTTGAAATGTGGTCTGTGGTCCATTTCGGATAATGATGCCTGGCAAAATTGCTTCTGAGCCAATCAAAGCGCGCAATTTTGCCGAAAGTGACGCTTGCCATGTAAGAAAAAATAATTTCTATAAACTGTTAAATACTAAAATTCGCAGATTCGGGTGATCTATTCTGGCATTTTAATTGGTCACTACTCAGGACTTACTTCGAGCTTTGGTGGTCGGACTACTAAAAAGGCTTTGACTTTCGTTTCCATGTGATTGGTTAAACTTACTTGACTTTAAGCGGGTGAAAGGGGGAAAGTCTCATGAAACACGTGTTACACGACAAATTCATTTTAAATGGGACACTTATTTAGACTGCGCATAAGAATGTAATGCTACGAAGAACGATAATACGGAGAATGTGAGGATTCTTTAATCATTTCTAATCAAGCAATATTCTAATACTTGCTCAGAAAGCTAAGGTTTATATCATTGCTTTTTGATGGCAACGATAATAAACGGATCATGTCAGCAGAGATATGACAGCTAAAAGTTACATACTTGCCTGTTATCGTTATAATTCACGGCTTTGAGGTACGAATTTTATTATTTTAGTTACAAATTTCCAGATGAAGCATTGCTTTTTCCACATTTCTTGTGATTACTTTATGTTGTTCTTTGCACGTAAATGCCGATCATTCTTTTTTTTAGTGCTCCCTCCATGGGCACAAGATAGTTTTTAGAATTTTGCATTATTTCAATGTTTCATAAAACTACGGAATTTATATGTGCCATAGCTCTAGCCTCCAACGTGCATAGGTTTTGCTGCGCATTAATGTTTTAGGTTGTTGAAGTGAGAGAAATTTGTTCATATTAATCAAACATAATCTGAAATATAAAGTTTAATTAAATTACAATTATTAGAAAGTCGCTACTCGGAGTATCATGCGCAAGCAATCTTCAGATGAAGTTTGAAATTGCTTGTTTAATTGCTTTGGCATGAGACTTCGAGTAAGAACATTTTAAGAATTGTCATTTATTTAGTCATATACGCTCAACTCTGATATTGAGCGCTTTTATTTGCTTCAAATAATTTAATTTACGTACATGAAAATTATTCTGAAATATAAATATATTGCTTCTTATGCAGAGCTGGTATTTATGTTTATAGATCTGATATTACATGAAACTGTGTATACCGTCCTGTTTCATTGGTGCTGGTAAGTTATCATAGTTTTATCCATGTTTTAAGGCAACTAACTTCCATTGAATTAGTTTTGAATTATTCTGAACATCCTGTATTTTTATGTGTTTTGCTCATCAGCAAGGTGAATATATTTAAAGTGACTTTAGGGAACTTTTACTTCTCTTTGCATTACATGAGAGTGTAGATTCAGGATTGACTGGGAAAGATTTGGTTAAAATGAACCAATTTTAAATTGCTTTGAGAAGAAGTAGTGTATGTGTATTATAGCTGTTTCTTCAGTTATTGGAAGAAATATTGCTGCTATTTCCTCAGATTGTGGAGAAATGTGTAATAACTTCCCTGGTTCATTTATAAACAAATTTAATTAATCCAACAGTTGATATTCATATTTTGTTGCGTAATGACAGGTGCAATAAACAGAATAACTTTAGGTACTCATTAGTTTCTTAAAATGCAAAGTTTATTGTCTTTATCAAAACCTGAAGGAGTTTGCATAATTTCCTTTTTTAATGTAGAAGAGGAAAAACCATTTACCAAAACTCAATTTAGACATTCTCTTTGAAGTATAGACAGTTTCTTGTGTGCCTGATGTTTCTCTTGCATCCATTTTAAAATGTGCTTATGCAACGTCTATTGAGTCTCTTAGAAGTTCTGAAGGGGTTTCAACCACAGTTAATATTCAAGCTATTCTTTGCACTTTAGGTATACTACCAATCAATTTATGTGAATATATGAGATCAAATTCAGTGCTGAGGAATGTTAAAACATACCTATAGACCAAAACTATTGTAGAAGAAGGATAAAGTGGCTTAGCTTTTTTCAAATTCATTCAGATATTACTCCTGACAAAGAACGAGTTATTGAGAAATTTGCTAAAGATAATATCTGTTTAAAATTTGCTTTATGTTTTATTGATACGATTGAAATGTTAATGCTAATAAATACAATGAGAAAATGAGATGAAATTAACAATCTAGAGGGTTTATCAAATCATTTTTGACATCAGTGGACATTTACAATTTGCATGATTTAGCTGTAGTTGTTCCCCGAGGAGACTTAAATGTTTGGGATTTGCTATTTTCTGTAGCTGAAGTATACGTTTTTATTTATATTGTATTAAATTGCATTTACTGCTCTATGAGGATTAATTACTTCGAAGTGATAATTCGTGCAAATTCGAAATTTCACAATGTACAATTGACGACACACCTAGTAAATCACCAATCATAACACAACACGTTTACAACACGCCTAGTCACTGAAGTCGAAATTATTCCACGGTGAAATGTCTATTGGAGTTCTTTGAAAAAATGTTCAGGTAAATTTGTTCTTTCAAGTTCTTTTGCATTGAGTAAGCAATGAATTGGGACACTGCATGTGATGTTCATTAATGCAAAGTGCAGTGTGGCCTTCCCATAAAGTTTCCGTCTTAGTAACTTTTGTTTCCTCTATGCTTGATTTTAGACATGGACATTCTTCTCTTAAACGACAATTAGTCATCAAATGAGATTGAGAAACAACGAACAAATATTGGTGTATTCACCATGATCGTAGACTCCACAATTAAAGAAAGTGGTTATTGTTCACAGCGGTTGAAGAGAATTGTGGCTGTTGTCGACCAGTTCCACGACGCTCATCTAAACATAAGAATAAAATACAATTCTGCATTCTAATGCCCTAAAGACCATCTCTAGAAAGAATGCAAACGCTAAACACTCTTCTGGAGCAATGCATCTATCAGCCTAACGCTTGTTTCCATGGAAACGTCAATATTATGACTTTTTCTAAAACATTTTCCTGGGAGTTTTCCTGCTAACATCACGACTGGTCAATCAATCGCGTCAACATAAAAGCGGTGATGTTTGTCAGGTAGCCTGAAAATTGGATACGATGGTTTCACCATCAACGTTCTGAATATTTAAAAATTATTTTGAGCTTTTTTGTGGCTGTCCTTGCTCAACATCCGATCGTTTCATCTTCACAATTGGCATAAGATTTGTCATTCATCGTAGTCTGTCGTCGAACTGCCAAGGATTCGTCGAAAATCGTAAGTGTAATAATAATAAACCTTTTATTTAGTTAGGCGTGTTAAAAGGTCAAATCTCTAATATAATTCGGGCAATGGCCACAACAAATCCTGGTGTTCAGTATATTCCACTGTAAAGCCTGTTTTCCACTAGCCACGTATTGTAACGTATCGTAGAGTAGCAAAACGTAACATGGCGCATGCGTGATTGTGCGTATTGACCATCAAATTCACAAGCACGCATGCGCCATGTTACATTTTGCTACGATACGTTACGATACGTGGCTAGTGGAAAGAAGCAGTGTGCGAATTAGTTCAGAAAAAACGATGTGCAATTTTTTTGACAAAAGTGTTTCTATATCAAATCGATATTACGTTAATTTAATACATAACAATAATTGCTAAATTAATATTTTTAAACGTGAACAAATTCTTATGATTTACAACAGTGTTTTTCATTATAACCGCTGATTTTTGCACATCGTTTGAAAAAGTGATGTGCAATTGTTCTCATTTTAGCTAAAGCGATGTGCAAATTGCACATTGCACACCGTTAATCCGCATACTGGAAAGAAAGCTTAAGACTATTTTTTAATGCAGGAATGCAAATAATTACATTTAAAGAAATTTACATCTGCATTTTCAAAAATAGTCTTGATTAAGAGGTAATAAAAGTGTCCATGAATGGATATGGTTCCACTTTACAATTATTGTTATTTAATATCGGAATTATGAAATTTGCTTGAAAAACAACAATGTTGGATTTTTTAAAAATATTCTTGTGTATAGGTACATGATAGGATACATTTTGTAAAAAGTTTAAACAAGTTCAAGTCCATCTGTACCATTTATTATCCAAACGTAACCACATTTAGAGCAATTCCTAAGTATTATTTTCAACAGGATCATTCTCTGATTCTTCAGATGCATTTGAGTTCTGTAGTTCAAGAATCTTATTAAAAATTTTCTGTTCAGTTTAACCTTCCTGGCGTAAAATCCAAAATATATAATGCAAAAAAGCATGCCAAATGTTATCACCAATCCTGTAAAGGAGCTTCGTCGACAACTATCATAGTATAAAGTGTCATTTACTGTATGATTTTTCGCAGCAGACTTTGAAAATGCTATTGGTTCCTCTTTTGAAATTTCTTCACTTGATGATGAAAAGTAATGCTTTTTAGGATAAACGTGTAGACGTATGAGTGGAGAAACAGTTCTGAAAAAGAAAAACTAGTTGAATGTTGAGTCTGGTAATCTAGCGAGTCCAAAAGATGCACAAGAATTCAAAAGATTGCATAAGCAGTACAACAGTTGCACATTTGCAACTTGTGGACATCTTGCCTACACATAAAAAATCTGCATTTAAGGACATATAAAGCACCCCAAAAATTTACTTTTTACAATTACAAATCGACATGTGCTTAGTTGCCTTAAAAAATGACGTTGTTAGCAAATATCTCGATGGAAATTTCAAATGCACTTTCATCGCTCCAACGAAAGTCGCCATTTTGTTAACTCATTTTAGAGCGCTTTCTTTTTCTTATTTTACATTTCTTTAGTAAATTTTCCCAATAATCGCGTGCCCGCGGTGCACGCTGGTTTTAGCACGTGTCTTTTTCTTCCTTCTTTCTTTTTTCGACGCTATCTTGAAGTGGTCAAGATGCTTAAACCAGTTTGTTCGAAGACTTTCACGACTCCTCGTCATCCTTTTGAGAAAGAACGCTTGGATCAAGAATTGAAGATAATTGGGGAGTATGGGTTAAGAAATAAGCGCAAAGTATGGTGTTAAGTACACTTGGGCTAAGATTCGCAAAGCTGCTCGAGAGTTGCTGACTCTAGACAAAAAAGCTCGCGTCGTTTGTTCGAAGGCAACGCGTTGCTACGTCGTCTTGTAGGTAACGGGGTTTTGGATGAAAGCCTCATGAAGCTCGATTATGTTTTAGTCCTTCGTATTGAAGACTTCTTGGAGCGACGTCTTCAAACTCAAGTTTTCAAATTGGGTCTGGCAAAATCTATCCATCATGCTAGAGTTCTTATTTTCCAGCGTCATAAAAGGTTGAATTGAAGTTTTGATGAGTTAAAAAGAATTTTAATTGCTGGAACTCTTTTAATGATGTTGGCCAAAGGCTCATCTCATTTCAATCGTCAATTCTTTGATTTCAGGGTTCGTAAACAGCTACCCAACGTACCTTCCTATATAGTACGTTTGGATTCGCAGAAACACATTGGTTTTAGTTGTAAATCACCATATGGTGGTGGTCGACCTGGTCGTGTAAAACGTAAGAACATGAAGAAAGGAGGTCAAGGTGGATCTGGTGGTGAAGATGAAGATAAGGACTGGTTGAGAAACGTCTGTCAATCACAGCGTGAATATTGAGCCATCCACACTCTCATATCTATTGGTACATTAAACAATCCAGTGTCTTCATTTTTTAGATTCATGGATTTCCCTACTTCAACCCCCACCCCCCTTGCATGCCCAAATTAGGCCATATTTTGTCAGATTCTTTCTCTCTTCTATATCACTCATACTTACCCCCTCTGCCCAGTTGTTTTTGATTTTAAGTTTAATTTTTATGTTCATTTAGGTCTCTCTTCATGTGAAAGCTGTCATGTGGAATATGTAATTCTTACGAGACATTGTAAATCAATCAACAAATTTTGATGCACAATTCAATGCGCTGTTGTTATTTTGTTGTGTATATTATGAGTGAAGGGAGAAATAATCTTAATGCAGTAGCAAATTTAAATTTTAGTGACATATTTATAACAATGGGATGTGCCATAAAATTATAAAACCTAAGGATTTGCCAAAAGCTGAAATTTTGTGAAGTTTGTACAAATTATTGTATGTGCAATGAAATTGTCAAGTTTGGATGAAATCCGTGTCGGATAATCCATGATATAATGAAGGAACTTTTAAATTTTAAACAATCTTTGTAAGAAGCAACATGTTAATCAGATTGACGATTATGGAATCGGGTAAAGATTAAGGATTACAAAATAACAGTCCCAGTCTCCCAACGCCCTCGTCTCAATCTAAACAATAATATGAAACAATATTAAAACAAAGCAAAGAAAAGATTTTACCTTTTATTAGTTGACTAAGTTGAAGGAAGCTTAGTACTTTCCACGTGTTTCAGAAAAATTCATTAAACTACGGTGAAGTAAACATATTAAAAATGGCTCTTGAAAATACGGTCCAATTATCCGAGAAATACGAAGCAGTTATGGTTCTCAGTGGAGTGGGAGATGATCTAGGTTATAAGAATGGTTTGTGGGAATTCTGTTACAGTGGTACTCAAATTCATGAAGAACTAGAAAAACTCGGAGGACTTGATAAAATTGACATTAAAGGATGGAGGGTTAGTGACGACACTGTACTACACATTGCTACAGCAGAAGCATTGGTTTCTGAATGGACAACAACGGAAGAGTTATTGAGCATTATGGCTACAAAGTACAAGAAGACATGTGCTGAGGATATGTGGGAAAGAGCTCCTGGGCAGACCACAACAAAGGCATGTTTCATGTTACAACCTCTTGAGGAAAAAGGTTACATTATACCATTTAATGAACGAGGTGGCGGATGTGGTGCAGCTATGAGATCCATGTGTATAGGTTTGATGTTTCCTTGTGAAGATCAAATTGAAATGTTAATTGAAATTGCTGTTGAAAGTGGAAGGATGACTCATAATCACCCCACAGGTATTCACCTTTCATAATAAAGCAACGATTTCAGATCATGTATCAATTATCAAGTCACTAATGTCTAGTGTTTTGTCTATCAACAAGTGTTGCTTTGTATAAAGTTTGCTAGGTTTTCCTGTTATCTGCATTTCTTTCCATTTTAACAAACCTTTATAGTAATTTAGCTTTTCTATCCTTTTGCTTTTCTTAGATGTTTTATCTTCAACTCTTCCTTTGATTACTTACTTGAACAAGCCATTACCATGAATGTTTCATATCCTTTTATCTAATATCAATTTATAAATGAAATAAAAGAAGGTTGACCTTAGGTTTGCATAAGTCTATGCAATCCATCATTTTCTAGAACCACATTTCAAATGCCTCCATCCTTCTAACATTGCTCACTTTAAATGACCATATCTTTGATCCATCCCTTTTATCGCTTTTCCAAATTTCTGTCTTCTAAAAGCTGTTTGAATTGCCATTGCTGTTTTGCTTTAATATCTTCACTACTACAGCCATTGAATCCATGATTCATATCAAAATGCTGCCATTATGTAAATAGGGTCATCATAATGTAAGTGACCTAAAATTAGCAATCTTTAAAGATAATGATTTTAATTATAGGTTATCTATACAGAAAATACATCCAAAAAAATGGGGAGCAGGACTTTTAAGTATTTTACCCAAAGTTTGGGAATACATTGAGAAGGTTGGTCGTGATGTAGAAGAAAACAAGAAATCTTGGGGCTACTTTAAAAATGGTTGGGAGTCATATCTTGAACTACGGGGATTAACAATGGAACTTTTGAACCAAAGTTTCCAGTGACATATAACATACCTGAAGGTGATGCTTTTTATAAATCTGTCAGTTATGCAGGTTGGGGTCCAGTGGTCATGATGCACCAATGATTGCTTACGATGCTTTGATGATGGCAAAAGATTCCTTGTTTCAATTGTGCTCTTGTTCTATGTTTCATGGCGGGGATAGTGACAGCACAGGAATATTGGCTGCAGCTTGATGGGGTGGTATGTATGGTATGAAAGGTGTAACCCTTGGAAATTATAGGAACCTGGAATATGGTCATAGGCTTATGGAGCTGGGTAAAAAATTACTGAATGTATCAAAGAATATGAAAAACTAACAGGATAGTATTTATTTAACAAAATTTATGTCATAAAATTCTGTCATCCGAATATACTTTAGTATGTTTGTAAATCATACAATAAAAATTACTACTTGGTTTAACATAAAAGCAATTTTCTTTAGAAATAAAGTCTAAAGAAGAATGTCAGATTCAGGGCATGGGCAGTTCTAAGTTCTACTTAGGATGATTCCCGGCTGTAGAGTTTCATAATACATTACACGTAGATTGTTTAAAAGACTTAGCAACATCAATCTGACTAGTTCCTGACGTTTTTTTTTTCGAATTTCTTTAGCTTTTTCGTGAAGCTCTATAGCTTTGTCGTAGTTTACAGTTTTTTTAAACACATTAGCAAGATTGTTGAAAGACGCAGCGACATCAACATGATTTGGACCTAACGATTGTTTTTTAATTTCCAGAGCTTTTTCGTAAAACTCAATAGCTTTGTCGTAGTTTCCAGTTTCTTCAAACACCACACCAAGATTGTTTAAAGACCTAGCGACATCAATATGATTTGGACCTAACGATTTTTTTCGAATTCCGAGAGCTTTTTCGTAAAACTCAATAGCTTTGTCGTAGTTTCCAGTTTCATGTAAAACCGTACCAAGACTGTTTAAAGATCTAGCGACATCAACATGATTTGGACCTAACGATTGTTTCTGAATTTCTAGAGCTTTTTCGTGAAGCTCTAGAGCTATGTCGTAGTTTCCAGTTTTAGAATACACAGTACCAAGATTGTTTAAAGACGTAGCGACATCAACATGATTTGGACCTAACGATTGTTTTCGAATTCCGAGAGCTTTTTCGTAAAACTCAATAGCTTTGTCGTAGTTTCCAGTTTCATGTAAAACCGTACCAAGACTGTTTAAAGACCTAGCGACATGAACATGATTTGGACCTAACGATTGTTTTTGAATTTCTAGAGCTTTTTCGTGAAGCTCTAGAGCTATGTCGTAGTTTCCAGTTTTAGAATACACAGTACCAAGATTGTTTAAAGACCTAGCGACATCAACATGATTTGGACCTAACGATTGTTTTTGAATTCCGAGAGCTTTTTCGTAAAACTCAATAGCTTTGACGTAGTTTCCAGTTTCATGTAAAACCATACCAAGACTGTTTAAAGACCAAGCAACATCTACATGATTTGTACCTAACGATTGTTTTTGAATTTCTAGAGCTTTTTCGTGAAGCTCTATAGCTTTGTAGTAATTTCCAGTTTTTTGAAACACAATACCAAGATTGTTTATAGACTTAGCAACATCATGATTTGGACCTAACGATTGTTTTTCAATTTCTATAGCTTTTTCGTAAAACTCAATAGCTTTATCATAGTTTCCAGTTTCATGTAAAACCGTAGCAAGACTGTTTAAAGACCTAGCGACATCAACATGATTTGGACCTAACGATTGCTTTTGAATTTCTAGATCTTTTTCGTGAAGCTCTAGAGCTTTGTCGTAGTTTCCAGTTTTAGAATACACAGTACCAAGATTGTTTAAAGACGTAGCGACATCAACATGATTTGGACCTAACGATTGTTTTCGAATTCCGAGAGCTTTTTCGTAAAACTCAATAGCTTTGTCGTAGTTTCCAGTTTCTTCAAACACCACACCAAGAATTGTTTAAAGACCTAGCGACATCAATATGATTTGGACCTAACGATTGTTTTTGAATTTCTAGAGCTTTTTCGTGAAGCTCTAGAGCTTTGTCGTAGTTTCCAGTTTTAGAATACACAGTACTAAGATTGTTTAAAGATGTAGCGACATCAACATGATTTGGACCTAACGATTTTTTCGAATTCCAGAGCTTTTCGTAAAACTCTATAGCTTTGTCGTAGTTTCCAGTTTCATGTAAAACCATTACCAAGATTGTTTAAAGACTAGCGACATCAACATGATTTGGACCTAACGATTGTTTTGAATTTCCAGAGCTTTTCGTGAAGCTCTATAGCTTTGTCGTAGTTTCCAGTTTTAGAATACACAGTACCAAGATTGTTTAAAGACGTAGCGACATCAACATGATTTGGACCTAACGATTTTTTCGAATTCCAGAGCTTTTCGTAAAACTCAATAGCTTTGTCGTAGTTTCCAGTTTCATGTAAAACCGTACCAAGACTGTTTAAAGACCTAGCGACATCAACATGATTTGGACCTAACGATTGTTTTGAATTTCTAGAGCTTTTTCGTGAAGCTCTAGAGCTTTGTCGTAGTTTCCAGTTTTAGAATACACAGTACCAAGATTGTTTAAAGACCTAGCGACATCAACATGATTTGGACCTAACGATTGTTTTGAATTTCCAGAGCTTTTCGTAAAACTCTATAGCTTTGTCGTAGTTTCCAGTTTCATGTAAAACACACCAAGATTGTTTAAAGACCAAGCGACATCAACATGATTTGGACCTAACGATTGTTTTGAATTTCCAGAGCTTTTCGTGAACTCTATAGCTTTGTAGTAATTTCCAGTTTTTTGAAACACAATACCAAGATTGTTTATAGACTTAGCAACATCATCATGATTTGGACCTAACGATTGTTTTTCAATTTCTATAGCTTTTTCGTAAAACTCAATAGCTTTGTCGTAGTTTCCAGTTTCATATAAAACCAGACCAAGATTGTTTAAAGACCAAGCAACATCTAAATGATTCGTACCTAACGATTGTTTTTGAATTTCCAGAGCTTTTTCGTAAAACTCTATAGCTTTGTCGTAGTTTCCAGTATAATAATACACAATACCAAGATTGTTTAAAGACGCAGCGGCATAAACATGATTTGGACCTAACGATTGTTTTCGAATTTCCAGAGATTTTTTGTGAAACTCTATAGCTTTGTCGTAGTTTCCAGTTTCATTATACACATTACCAAGATTGTTTAAAGACCTAGCGACATCAACATGATTTGGACCTAACGATTGTTTTTCAATTTCTAGAGCTTTTTCGTGAAGGTCTATAGCTTTGTAGTAATTTCCAGTTTTTTGAAACACATTACCAAGATTGTTTAAAGACGCAGCAACATCATCATGACTTGGACCTAACGATTGTTTTCGAATTTCCAGGGCTTTTTCATGAAACTCTATAGCTTTGTCGTAGTTTCCAGTATCACCATACACATTACCAAGATTGTTTAAAGACCTAGCGACATCAACATGATTTGGACCTAACGATTGTTTTGAATTTCCAGAGCTTTTTCATGATTTTTAGCTTTGCTATACTTCCCAGTGTCATAGTATAAAAGACCGAGGATATTAAAATACCAAGCTTTATCATAACTAGATTCTTCTGATTTAAATTTATCCAATAGTTCAAGAGCAAGATCGTATTTTCCAAAATGTCTTAATCTGTCAACAAAATATTGGAAAACTTGTAAAGTGTTCATGTTGATTTTTGTCTTGTTGGTCTTTAATAATTGAACAATTTTTCAAGATGTGGCATTAATTTGATTTCGTCGTCTCTCTCTTTAAACATGTAAAGTGCTTTAGATATTTGATCAACGTTAGTTTCCATTTCATGTTCTTCATTTGAATGTTCAGATTGATAAACAATAATTGCTTTGTGAACAATGCGATGTAGACTAATGTCATTATTTTCTGAATGCAAGAACAATGAGCAGTCCTTTAAACAAAGACATATATCTTCCTTTGAGTGTTTGGGATCTATTTTTGAACATAAAAACAATAATGTCTCGTGGTATAGGATCAAACGATATCACGGAAAAAAAGTTAATAACATTTGCCAATATTGAGGATTCTTCAGCATTTTGTCTGACAGCTAAAAGTGAAGCTTGTAACATACTTCTAGGATATACCGAGTTAAATTTAACAAAAGTGGCGTCCATGTTTTCTTGTTCTTCTGAAAATATTTTCTTTAAATATTGTTTCCAAGTAAATGAGCAGTTTGCTTTGTTTACACGACTGACATAACAACCAGCGGCAGCCAAAGCCAGCGGTTGACGATCTAATGCGTGGGATACTTCATTCAACAATTGATCATCAGTATTATCATCTTTAGTGTAATATTCCAACAGTTGACAACATTCTTTATCATTCATTCCACTTCTGATAGAAATATGTTTGTTAAACTCATCGTCTTGAGGTACGGCATCTGTGTTCTGGATAGTTACTATGATTTGTCCATTTATCCACATGGGATCACCAACTTGGGGGAGTAATGAAGAAATTTTGCTGAGCTGTGCCACGTTGTCTACAATGATCAACCAATTTTGCCAGAATTTTAATCGTGTGGATACTAACGATCGCAAATTCTTCACTTTGTCTGCGATGGAACAATTTTCATCTTCAAATTTTTAATCATATACTTGTCACAGTTTAAACGGTATCCAAGTTCACAGTAAGTTTTAAAAGAGATTCCTCATTTTTCCATCGAGAGTCATTACAAACGAAGTTCTATTTTTCCAATCACACGATATTTTTCACAAACCTGTCTTGCAAGTTGTGATTTACCACTGCCAGGATTACCAGTGATGTAAAAATATGTCAGTTTATCATTGTTATCATTCCTTAATTTTTCAAGATCTTTTATAATTTTATCTCGTAATTCAGTGCGTTCAACGAAAAATGATTAGGTTTTGAAGGAAGAACTTGAAATAAATTAAAACTGTTTCGATGATTTTTATTTTATTGATTTCATCGAGAGAAAATTTCAAATCTTGAAATGATTTTTCAATGATGTTGACTATATCATCAAAATCATCATCTGAGCATTCCTTTCATACCAATGTGCGTACTTGTTTCTTTCACAACGAAGTGCATGAACAGCATCCTTTGTTTTTGTCAAGGTGCTTTCCAATTGAATTTGAAAAAATTATTGCATCAAATAATATCGTACAGTCCCACTTACTGGTATCTCCATCTTGATATTTTTGTCGAGTTTTTTGGTCTAACTTTCTTCTTGATTCTAAATTGTAAAATTTGTTACCACTGTTGTGTGTATCATCCCATTCTCCATAAGTTGATTTGTAACGAGAGTTCCATTGTTTAATGAAAAACTGAGCAAGTTCCTTTTGCACCACGTTAATTATTTGCTGAATGTAAGACAGATTTCTTATTCCTGACGATTCCATCTGTACAAAAATTTGGTATATATCTACAATATAAAAATCAAGCAAATAAAAAAATATTATACAACCCTTATTCGGTTCCACTGATTTAACTTCACCAAAAATCGTCTTAAAATTACAAAAGAACCTAAAAACTAATAATGACAGAGAGCATGTATGCTACAGCTTTTAACAACTGCAGTATTCTGTCAAACAACTTTTAGAAAAATTAAAAAAACGTGATATTTTACCTTAAAGTTTAAGTTACAAAACAGACATAAGAATATATTCTTCAATAATTTGCATAGACATTTGTGAATGTCATGCCTCTGTATCTAAGAATATGTTATAATGTTGTAGCTAATGGCCTTTTTTAAATTTACTAAGATTTATGTTTATTTAATTTCATTGACTCTAACGCATTAATTGTAACTTGATTTTATAAATATATATGTTTTACAACATGTTGTAACACAAGATCTTGTTTTTCTTTGGCTATGTACGACAATTGATTGGCAATGGTAAAATTCTTTATCAATTTTAAGACCATGAACTACTATTTTGATTAAATTTCAATATGAAATGAGAATTTTTAATCTATGTTGATAAACTAACGCGTTTTGAGGGGATCATTAACGTAAACTCGAATGTTGAATATTGCGTATTGGTCGTGACTTTTTTAGAACGTGTATCTACAAATACGATAAAAGTTTTCAGATATAATTTCTATGAGATTTTACAAAGACCTTTTAGTTCGCAAAATATTATAGATCAGAATGTTCGTAATTTATAACACGTCTCTATGGTACGCACCGACTGAAAAGAAAACTAAGAGATAGCAGATTCTAACAGTTTCGATAAGGGAGAAATTAAAGATAGTTTCTTGTGATTGTGTGCTGCTGCGAACAGCATTGGCTATGTATAAAAAAGCATCATTTTGCGACGTTTTCGAGAATCATAAAAAATGAAATAACTTTTTTATATTTGCAAGTGTTAAACATTATGGACAACGATGTTAACGAGGAAGTTTTATTCTGAAAGACAAGAAGAGAGGCTGTGAAACGTCATAATGAGGATAAAAGGAAAAAAGGAAGACAAATATTTACAAAAGGAGCTGGCATTCAGAGGATATAACAAATCAAGCTTTAGTTTGAATAAGGACAACTATAGAGAGCTTCTAAAGTCATATGGAAATTTTTGTTTTGTCTTTGTTTTGAATGCCAGAAGTGACGTAAGAAACGGCTGTTGCACAGTTTGTGTTTTCACTGATGTATCACGTGATGTCCAGAATTATTTCATTGCCTAACTGTATTGATGAAGTTATAAAAATGTTCAATATCAGATTGATGAGGAAATCACAGAATTTCAGTTTTTTAATTATTTAATACGACGAAACTTTGCATAAATAAACCTTAGCATCAACAAAAGACATTTGCAAAGCTAGAAAGATTATCTAAAGGCTGCAAAGTCTGGAACTATAAGATTTAAAAAGAAATCTTTGATAGGGTACCTAACTTTAAGGTTTTAGCAATGAAGATATTCCTTCTCTCAGTGGTCTATTGTTTTTTTCTACCACTAGGAGGTGTGATTACAATCTCAAGTTAACCTCAACTTTGAACTCAGTATTTTACTTCACAGTAACTTAGTAGAAACTTCTTTGCAACTTCCTAATCACAAACACTGACTCCAGCATTTAGCATATATCGAATTTCACGATCCCTTCGCCTTTTTTATTCTGATGTATCTGTAGACGGCGTCTTGTTCGTCACTCTTAACAATTCAACTTCTTTATTTTCGTTGCGTTGGTTTTAAAAATTGCTTCATGTTTGTGTTGATTTTTGTTGCAATATATAAACATGACGAATTTTTTCAGTGTTGCAGGACCGTCAACATTTCTGCACATGCACAGTTTATTGTAAATTACTCCTTAAGTATTGTCGTTTACTAGAAATGCTGTTGTTATTATGATTATTTCTGAACATTTTTTTTTAAATTCATGAATTTTATAAACAAAACTCATATTTCATTACGGGGACATTTTTTTTGGTCAACCACTGTAGATGTGTTGTATCACTATGTGTGACAACACGTCAAAAATAACATCATTTCTTTCAAGCGTTGCCAAACAGAAGACATGATTGGTGGTATAATAACTAAAAGACTCTCAAAAGTTTAATATCAAAACTTTGCAAAGCTATTGGGAGTAGTTGAAGTCAAAGAACAATGATAATTTTTAATTTTGTGTTATGAAGATTTGTTAGTTTTGTTAATATGACTATTAAGTGAGAGTGTTAAAAGGAATTAATAAGTTGTAATATTCATATCTTATGACACGTGACACGAATGACGTCACATATGCATGCTTCCTTTTACACACATGTGCAGAATTGTTTGATTGCCTAGCTGTACTTATAAGGTTATCAAGTTGATAGGAAATCAGAGATCTTCAGTATTGTATTATTTAATGCTATGAATTTGCACATATCAACATTAGCGTCAACAGCTAAGCATCGACGAAAGACAATTGTAACGCCACAAAGATAAGGAAAATTCTTTGGCTCCATTTAAAATGCGGACTTGCAAAATTGAACAAGCGATGCTATAGTTTATGACAAAGATAAACCCACTTCCTGATCAATATTTCTACTTCTAAAACGACTTAAATATCTAAACTATTCAATGATGAATTTGCATGTATCACCTTAGCGTCAACTGCTCGACGAAAGATAATTGCAACGTTACAAAACGACTAAATGTTTAAAAAAATCCGACTAAATATTTAAAATATCAATGATGGCATGCATGAATCCATTTGCAATTTCAAACTTAATTTTCCTCCTGATTCATAAATGTCACGTCATACTATCACAAGTATAATGAAATAACACATATTTTAAAAATATACCGTCTGGACCCAAAGATGAATATAATTGCATGCTAGCAAGCAATTTGAATTTCTTGGCAAACAAACACATCACGATAAACAGGCCTTCCTTTCGATGGCAGTAATTATTTTTCGTAAGTAAATTGTTTGTATTTGCAACTTCGTTTGATTGGTATACAATTACAGGATTACAAATTGCTACGAGTATCTATGATGTATATTTCATAGTACTAAGGTGTGACTAATATTTAGTAAAAATATATTAATTAAATATGACAAACATTTTGTATTTAAGGTCACATTTATACATCGTAAACACACATGATAATTCTTTATCTTTTGTCTTACAAACCTTTTGCTGGTCGACGGTTGGGACTTTGAACATTCAATCTTTCAGATAAATTCAACGTTCTGAAGAGTTAAGCGTCAAATGTCTGCGTCGCTTGAGTGGATACGGGGCAAATAATTTTGGGCCTTTATTGTTATGTAAAACAAAGACACAGAATAGATTACCTTATCTATTCTGCGACGACAGTATCACTGTTCAATATACGTTGAAATTTGATAAAAAATAGGACAACTTCTTCTTACAAAGTTTCATTTTATCGTTAGAAACTACAATATTTAAGCAGCTTTGAGGCAATCGTTTGCTTTCTCATTAAAACAATGCCGAAAATGATTTCCGAAAAATTGGTATTAATTGTCGTCGGGTCGTCGGTATGGTCGTCGGTCACAAACAATGATGACGTTTCTACCTTTGACTGATGGAAACATGCAAACTAGTCAATATTCAATATGGCGTTTGAACGAATTCATTTTATTCCTCCTGTCATTGAAGATAACCCAAACGGCTGGGGTCCTACCTCTGTTTCAGATGCATTTAAAGGAATACCTTATCAACCATTCTCTAAAGGAGATAAACTTGGCAAGGTAAAATATTTTATATTTTATAAGAAATTCCTTGCCATCAATGTCTTCAACTCTGACCTTTAGTTGTTCTTGTATTTTTGTGTCACCTGGTGAAATTTATAATCATATTTTACTAGCTATTATTGTAAAACATTGTTATGTAGTCATCATTAAAAACAACTCTACACTTTTAAGAGGATGAAATATTATTTTTTGTATTGACTGTATGAATATAGGTGTTTTCATTTTATGTTGGGCTCTGATTGGTCAAGCACAGCCTATCAAGATCGTCGATACCAAAATTTGTAATCTGTCCAGACTTCACTATTTTCATGCAATTTAATCATATTGTTTTACTTCCATAGATAAATACTTAAATCAATTTGGTGGTGGTAATCAATATGCATATTATCACGAAGAAGATGAATCAACTTTCCATCTTGTTGACACAAGTCGACCACAAAAGCCTGTTTACATGCGCAATAGGAACAAATTCAATCAGGTACAATAGAAAAGTTTTACATACATTTAAGTCTCAAAATAAAATCACTTCTTTATTATATTTGTAAATTTGTTCATCTAAATTACTCCTTTTCATATGAACAACATTAACATAAATTTTTTATTTTTAGAGGAATAATCAACGTGATAAACTAGATCAAGCATGACTTTGGTCTAGCTTAAACGAGCAATCACTGGAGAAATATCTTCATAGCTTCATTGGGCATAAACAATTGCTTTTGTAAGTTTGATTTAAGTAACATTTAAGAAAGAAAGATCAATCTTGGCTTGATAAGCTATATGATTATCATAACCAATGTATAATGCGATATAGTAATGGAGTTTTCTTTTAACAGTAAGCTGTTTATGTCAGAATAATTATACGATGTGTAATTGATTTAATTTCAGTCAGTATTATGAGCAGGATGCATTGTTATTGGATGATGAACAATCTAGTATGTTACCAATGATGGCTGCTGGTAAGAATAAACTTGTTTATATTTCTATAATGGATTTTTTATCATTCCGTGTTTCTTCTTTAAGGCTTAAGTTCAATTCTTTTTGCAATTGACATTGACAAAGCTGAGTTTAACTCTATTACTGTACAGGTATACTGGAATGCTATTGATATTGTTTAAAAATTAGTCTTTGCAAATAGAAATGGATAGTAAAAAAGTGGAAGCTATAAATGTACTTTTCTTTAACTACTTGAATTTAATTTAATTTTTAGATTCCAGGAAATATCAGCCAAGCAGTTTCTCGTCCAACATCAATATGGGCTGTACCATCACCAATGTATGCGACGTTAGGAGCTCCTGGTGAAGTTTGTTAAATACAACATTTTAAGAAAATAAAGATTTGATCGGAATTTCATTTTTCTCCCCTGATCAAAAATATCCCTTTTATCCCTAATTATCCCTACCATTCATCTCATATATCACTAATCTTATCATTCCTTAACCACACATGTCATTTATTCCTTGTAATCCCCCAACCATGTGTTCTCCTTAACCTTTATTATCCCATAATTACATGTCTTCATTTATTCCTAAACTATACCTGTTATTTATTCATCCCTTATCATCCCTTAACCGCGCGTCCTCATTTATTCTTTATCATACTTGAACAATGCGTAGTCATTTATCCCCACGCGTCTTCATTAATTTTTAACTTTTATCTTTCTTTTGTGTTTCAGGAAAAGAAAAGAAAAAAACGTAAAAAAAAGAAAGCAAACATTGCTCAAATTGAAAATGTTGAATTCAAAGAGACGGAAGAAGGAACTTCTACTGTCAGTTCTCATGGTAGTTCTTCCACGACAACGACTGCTGACGATAGTGCCACGAGCTTTACCCGAGCGGCATACGACATATTACAACGTAATACTGATTCTCAGGTACATGCTCGTGGTAACCATGCTTCCACTAAAAGGCCTCACGATTTTCTTGAAATGCCAAAGAACTCTCAGTTGGCTTATTGTTCGATTTCTGAGAATTCAACTCTTTCTTCCACAATGGCGAAATCCAACGTTGAGAACAAGAAGAATGAAACAGATGAACAAGTGGCTCGATTAACAAAGAAAAGCCAGGAAGTTCTGCATCTTAAAAACGAGTTTAAAACTGCGAGTGATTTGAAAAAAAAATCATTCTTTGACAACATCTTTGCAATCAGGGCGTTACACTGACTCCTCGCTCTTGTCGGAGGAAGAAGTGTGTGAGCCTCTTGTTGATATGAACAGCGGTATATCTCTAATTCCCGTAGTTTGCCCCGATGACGATAAAGGAGTTAGGGGTCTAGCTATGTCAGGTGAAAATGAGCGATTTACTGTTGCACCAGAGACGTCGCGACATTTAGTTCATTCAATAAATGATTCTCCCGTTTCAAGGTTAGAAGATACTTCATTATTTTATCGAGAAGAATGTCTAACGAGTTCACCATTTTAACTGAGGTGGTAATTTATGTTGTTTTCAGTATTTACACTGATGAAGACGTCGAGAATGATGCAAGTTTAGCAATTGGAGCAACTGTTGCAGCGATATGTGCCACACGTGATGGTAGCATAGAAATTAATGATTACTCAGGATTGTCATTGGTCAGAACCATGGGTGATGGTTGTATGAATGTTAGTTAATTATGAAATGCTTTTATATTTTTTATGGGGGGGAGGGGAGGGTAGAAAGCCATTTGTAAATATCTTTGTTATATTTAGTTCGTTATATTTGGTATGTTTTCGTTCTTTAGCCATCAAAGGAATATCCATCAGGCAAAGAAATGACTTCAGGTTTGTGAGTTTTTTCTCTTCATGTATTTAAATGTTTTTATTTCTTATATCTTTTGAAAAAATGTTTTCGGAACGGGAGAGGCACTTTTGCCTCAGGTTCTCAAACTATAAATGGCCTATTAGCAGGTAGAGTTAGTTTTAAATATAGAAAAGTTTAGTGTAATTGGATTTTACTGTTTGTATCATAGTTGCTTTGCTTGTTTGTAGACATCCGTCAAATTTCATCATGTGAACTGAATATTTGTATGTGTGAATAATTATAATTTCATGAATATCAATAAATACGTGGTTTTTTATTGTTAAAGAGGAATTAAAACAGGCGATTGTATCGATGATGTTAAGAAAAGATGAAGTTGAAGAACGTAACAGGTTGTATTATCGTCCTTCGTTTAATATTAACATTCCACTCGAATATACACTATTTTGCCCTGATCATCTTTCCTGTAGATCATTACAACAACATTTGGAAAAAGAGATGATGAAGTCAGCTGCTCTTCGTCTTCAATTAGAAGATTTAAAAAGAGATATGTCGTCGAAAAATGAAGAAAATTGCGTCGCTCTTAACGGCTTAAAAAGGTTAGGACATTGAGAACTCTGCATTACAGTTAATCAAAGATGTCTGTTGACCTGTTCGTTTTTGCTCTTTAGTGAAAATGATTTGCTCAAACACCAACTAAAGAAATACGTGGGTGCTGTTCAATCGTTGAAAAGAAATGACATTATGGAAGAAGGTTTACTGGACGGATAGTTTATCTTTAAAATAGATGTAGAAGTCTAAGATATTCGATAATCTTTTGTGTAGCTCCAGAAAATGAAAGACTTTCTTCTATCATTCTTTCTCCGGAATCTGACGTCGACGAAGTGAGGTATTTACAGTAAATTTGTAGCAAATGTGAATCAAAGGCGTTGAATTTCGTTTCTTTTTCTTGTAGAAAGGAAGAAAAAAAAGATTTTGAGCGGAAGTTGATCCAAGTAAGATTTCCATTAAACCATAAAACTTTTACAAAACGAAACATTTGTCTTAAAAGGTTTTCAGGTATCATATTTTGCATGAAGATAAGCCGAAATTTATTTGATAGAAAACTCTTTTATACGATGAACACGCTGACTTTAAGAAATATCTAATACAAGAAAATATTTTGACTTATGAAAACTGAGGATCAATTACTGAAATGAAATCTTGATATATGTTTAAAAAACACTCGCCACTCTGACTGATTTCGCGTTTCTTGTTCATCCCCGGGGAATTTCATGGTGATGGCCTCATGGCGTAATAGTCCGTAATCTGTGACCGATTTTCTTTCATTCCTGTTGGACACCTCAAGGAAGGTCGTGAAAATTTCAAGACAGAACGACTTTTACATGCTTAATACAATTTTACTTATTGTCATCTCCAAAAAGCTGCAGTTTTTTTGCTACATCACATTGAAATTTTAAAATTTGTAGCTCATTACAATTCCGAAATCCGCCATTATTCCCAAGAAACTTCATGTAATTTATATTTTGTGTGCTCGTGCCAGACCTATAACAGAGCTATTCCACTCGGTTAAATTGACAACCTGAGTAAGATTCTTAAAAAAAATAACGATTTGACACGTGCATTAGGTTAGATTTAAGAAATTTTCGTTAAGATGATATTTTGAAAGTTGTAAGAGTATTGTGCAAGACAAGGCGCCCTTTTTCTAAAGGTGCATTGTCACGCAGTTGCGACTGCTAGCGAGTAAGGATAGGGACGATTTTCTTCCAATTTTTAGACTTGTAGACATTTTAGCTATTTCATATGCTTTTCATTACTGGAAAATTTTATTGCATTGTTAAAAAAAACAGAAAAAAAAGAAATTCATTCTTCAGTTGGTGAGCTTCTGGTATTATTTCATATGCTACCCTCGATACAGTCGACAGAGTAGTCTGAAGCTGCGCACAGATTAAACGCAACGCTAGTCGTCATTCAAGGGCGGTGACAAGCGCGCTTTTCTAAAGGTCTGCCTCGAATTCGTCGTCCATGTCATCGTCTAAAAACTCCTCTTCCTCAACATCGTTGTCATCAATATCGACATTCGTGCATGCAGTACAAGAGCATACATCTGTGCACTTCACTCCTGCTTTATTACATGAGCAACGTTGTGAGTTGCAGCCAGTCTTACATCCACAATTAACATTATCAAGTAGGGAATCCGGCGCTGGGGGAATGGTCATCCATACGATTTGCAGTTTCCCGTCAATTGTTTTCCACCCATTTTCATCCGGAGGAGGAATATCCATTTGAGGTTGTAAACAGGAACGCCAAATCGCCGCTTGGTAGTTTGACCGACGAATATGTTGCAGCAAACTGTCACAAGTTGGTGGTAGTTGCTCATCTGAACATTTTCCTGCCTTGAACAATGAGAGCCGACATTTGTTGACGTCCTCAGAATCCTTGTCACCGTACAATAAACAAACAAATCTATTTAGTTGAAACACAAGTTCTTCTGACGGGGGAAATGCACTTCCTAAGGAACTAAATGAGTTCAAATATTTGTGGTTACGTAGAAGAATGTTCCACGCTGTCTTTTTGCCCTTTCCATAAAAGAACTGGTGGTGTCACATCCTTAAAAGAAAATTTTGAAAATATTGATTACAGTATACTATTCTTTCACTTATTATCATCGTAACAAAAGAAAACTAATGGCAGCATTGGTGTTATAGAATTACCAGTAAAGGCATGGAAACCTAGCAAGCTTTGACTAAGATTTTCATCACTTTCTTCTACAATAGTTTGTATAGAAATCAAGCGGAAGTTATTTCCTGTTCCAGTCATGAAGCATATTTCTTTGTTAATAATTCGTTGCATGGCGATCGACAACACAAAAACGTCTGTATCTTGGCTTTTGATTATGATTCTTTCGTTGGTTTCTTTAGCATGATTTGCATGTAGTAAGAGCCGAGTGTCAGCTTCCTCGTGATTACACTCCAATTCATACATTTCATTGCATTCCACTTTATCCTCATCTGATCTAGCTCGAGTAATGCAATAGCATTTATCCTTCGACGTTACATACAACGATGACAGATGTCCGAGACAAGATGATACGTAATTGCCCCAGTGTTCACAAAGAAACTGGATCAAAGACTCTTTGTTTTCGCCCAGAGCAAGAAACTTTTTCCACTGCTTTGGAACATGTTGGTTTTTGTCGAATACACGAATTTTCTGAATTCCAGTGTTTTCGGATCTTCTGTTCCTTTCCGATTCCTTGATACTTGTGGGAAGGTATCTATCCGCAACAAAGTCAACTCTTGTTGCCTTCCAGTCTTTGGCCAACTTTAATACGTTATTAAAAATAGCATCGCAGAATTCTCCAAACGTTTTCCATTTGCTCTTCATTGTTTGGATAAGAGCCATGGCATCGACAATGAGTGCATTGTTATCACAGTGTTCTCCATTAAACTTGCACGTGAGGTGGTCACCTATACAGTAAACATAGTAAGAAATTCCTGCATGAATAAGAACCCAATTTGAGGTGTATTGGATTCTGGGGATTCTTTGTAAATCCTACCTATCGAGATAATAACGAAACCTACCGAAGTCCAACACTAATAAAGCTAACAAAGAGAAACGTTATTTGTACCTTCAAAAATTTCAAATAACTTGGATTTGGTTGTTTTAACAAGACTTCCAGAAGTGGTTGCCAAGGAAAGCGGGTACGTGCCAAGACTGTACGACAAAACATTTGCAATGTCAATTTCACGGGTCTTAGCTATCATCAATAGCCGAGCGAATAGGTCTCTGTTCATTTTTAAATTGATTTCTTTCCCTTTGCTGGTTGACACAATTGACCGTTTCTGGCACAAAGATCTGAAATCTTGTTACGGGTGAACTTTGCAAAATGTCCGGTTTTGTACTCAAAAGATTATCTCGTGCAAATTTAATAAACTGCTCCTCCCTATTTTTCTGCCCCAGGAGTTTATCTGCAATCTCATCTTCCACCACCAAGCCACTTGCCAAACCAACCAAATTTTCTTCCTCAACATCAAACGGATTGTTCATGCTCAACACTGCAGACATTACATTCTTCACTAATTTTTCATTAAGTGCACACTTAGTTCTGTCAAGATCTTTGCGGCTCCTGTAAAAATACCGTGCGATACAATTCATGACAATTCGTGTATAGTTAGAGAAACTGCTAATCTACCTTGGAGTAATGTTAGAACCATCCATACTCTTGCATTTGTTAGCAATTGCGGCTCTTTCTGATTGGGCTAACAACCATCTGTGGACCGCCGACCGATTTAATGAAAAACCAATAATGCCTCCCTTGGTTTTGGAGTCACGATTTACGGTTTGTTCAATCATCTGGTCACAAGAAACTGCGGAGAATCCGTGACAATCTTGGCGTTGGACTGCGAAAGTTGTGGATAAATCGGGAACAATCTCTTTAGAATGTAGAAAACAGTCGAAATGAAAATCTTAGAATCGAACTGTCTATTCTTTTATTTGTAGCTGTTAATTGGGATGCACAAATTTCATTAGATTATACCAACCAGGATGTGTATTTTCCAATGCTGTCATTTCCAGCCAATAAGCAGTCCCGTATCTGGCATAGTTTATACGATCGCAAATAAAAAACCATGGCAGCATACATCTGAACAACGCTAAATGAAGGTTCCAATCGACTTCTCGAGTTGCCCGAATGAAGTGCAGCAGGATTTCTAAAAATGTTAAAAAACATTAAAGTGAGGCAGCAAAATATGAAAAAAATGTGAGGGTCTCATGCTGCATGACAGGTCTTTTTGTATACATACAGTACTACTACATGAACAATGTTGTAAGAGTAACAAACTGCACAAGGCCTTTTATTAAAGAAGCCAACAACTTTCGGCATAGTACAACGTGTGGTCTCCAAACATCAAAACCAATGCAAGTCATAAATTATTTTAGAGGAAAATGTCTTACATTTGCGCAGCACGTTAATGTATGATGTAAGGTTTGCACGAAGGACAAGCTGGTATATAGTACATACCAGTCATTTTTATGTACATGCTCCAGAATGCAAAGGTTTTAGACTTTATGGATGATTTCTCAACAAACTGCTCATAGTTCCTCACGAGTTGCTCCATTTGCTGACTTTCGATACAGTCGATGAGCTTGCCGTTCGCAAAACAATCAGCCACGTTTTGAATGGATGTTGCAACACTCTCTTTTTGCTGATTATCGATTGAATCCAAGTATGCATCGAATCGAAGACGTTGCAAGGCTTCATACACCAATTTATGACACATAATTGATCGGTTGTAGTGCTTTCCGGACAAGACACCTCTTATTGATCCAACGCTGATAATTCCCGATTCAATGAGCACATCCTACAAGGAAATTGAGTACAATAATGTGACTTGGAAACCCAATGTTAAATAAGACAAACATGGCCTCTTGCTGTTAAGCAAAATACATTCTAAAATGTAAAATTTTATTGTTAAAAAATACTCGTTCACTTGAAAATAGCGAGTTTCTAAGAAAATCTAGGCAATTACCTTCAAACCAACATCTTCGAAGAGTTTTGATATAGCAGAAAGGTAGCTCATGCTGGCATGAAACTCTCCTAGTCTAACAACAAATCGGTCATAAAAAAGCTGTTCTTTCCACCTAATATGTTGTATTTTAGCATAAACTGCTTCATCAAAACAAGGACAGCTTGTTGCAAACGTAATTTTCAATTATTGTTATGGCAGACTTTAGCACTTCATTTAGAGTTGAGTATTCTGTTGGGGAGGCATCCACTATTGGAAGATAACCAACTCTTGACACATTAGGTATGGTATCTTTTTGCAGTATAGTGTTGAATCCGGACCATCCCGGCCAGAGGTTGTCTTCATCAGTAGTAAAATATTTTATCATGCAGTACGCAAGGTTCAGTTTTCGACATTTGAGAGTGAAGTCATTGCTCTCCAAAGGCTGCATAACTGACTTGTCTAGGGTAGATCCATCAAATGTAGGAGTTTTCTTTGTAGCAATACCATAAGGTGCAATAGCTACTAGAGGTGCTACTACTGTACGTTGGTTTTTCTTAATTGGTACTTGGCATTCTCTTGTACGGCATGCAAGCTTGGGAAACGTTTCCGGCACAACTTTTTGGATGATGATACCTGTTTTAAAGAAGAACATGTCAGATTATCAAAAAGCTTCTAGAATAAAAAAGCTTTGCATAATTTGAAACTGTTCTAATTTCGACTGGCAATATGACTGACATACCATTTGTCACATGTGTTTGTCTTGTAGCATCTTCTTGGAAATCGATATTATCATACACAAGGGTGATATGCTTTCCCTCTACAAAATCTTTAGGGATGGTATTCAAACTATTAATCGTCAATTGGGCAATAGCTGATTCATAAGCCATCGTTGATGGTAAAGATACACAATGACCAAGACCATTAAGTAGTGTAATTAAGCTGGAGCAACCAGACATTTGTCGAACTGCCATGGCTAATGACAAAGATTTTGGAGTCTGCACTTTCCCACTGCTGAAGACATATATCAAATCTTGGCAGATAGAAAATACCTTGAGAGCTTGCTTTTCCTGTATTTGAACATAACCAGCGCGTTCTGGCTCATCAGAAAAGCCAAGCAGCCATGCAATAAAGTTAAATACCATTGGTGACACTAATTTTTTTCACGCTCTCCAAAGTAATATCAGAAGCTAGTGGAGGCCATGTATCATACCAGGATACTGGATTCGTGGATTCAAATTCCTTTCTTAATGCCAATGCAACATTATAAATTTCATGCAACGTAGTGCCTGCCCTGTATACTGCATCTGGCAAGAACTGTTCAGGTTCCTCACCATCATCAGAAGTTTCTGTTGACACTTCATCAGCGAAGGAATATTCTCTACTATTGAACTTGGTTGAATGCAACCTGAGTAAACCATCTCACTTTTGTTACGCTGTTTAGGGTTTGAAATATTTGTTGTGGAAACCGTTGTTTCGTTCGTTGCTTTAATCGACTTGTCTTGTAATTTGTTGCATCTACATTTTCAACACATGCAACAAATTTAACAAACTTTTCTTTAACCTTTGCCATGTAGAAAATACTTTCTTATTGTATTATGTGCACTTTAACGAACTGTTCTCAAAAAGCATTAAACCCTTCATTGTATAAGGGTTTCTGAGTGGATTCTTCACATTCAGCAGGGTCAACTTTATGGTGTTTGAGGAATGAGGTGTATTTTTGATAACATCCGTGATGATACTTCACTTCTAAAGCAACCAAGTCTTTTCCTCTAATGTGTAGCAAAATACTTTCATCACCCTTAATTTCTGCTGCTTTCCTAAGTCGACCACCATCTAGCGTTCTTGCCGTATATAGTGGATCCCGTTTCCGCTTCTTACTTATCTTAATAAAAATTGTGTGAAAAGTGACGCAGAATTAGCATGAAAAAAATATTCCACATTATGGTTTAAATTCACAGCAGTGGTGGCACCAAGAATTCTCCGACAGAGGGGCTTAGGTCCTCGATGGCGGGTCTGAGTTACTTGGCTTGTGGAACAATGCGTTTTCCATGCAAATCTTTTTTTCAGAGAAAACTTCAAAAAATTATTACAAATCCTTGCTTTAATGTATTCAGTTTTGGCTGATTTGAAATTTAAGTAGTAGAGGTTTTTTGCATTTTTTTACAAAATATTCCCTATCCAAATTCGAAAGTCGAGTTGCAAAAAACAACTTCTGCCCCCAGCTCCATACTCTAGTGCCACCCGTGCGTGATTTACAGCTACGTTTACCTACCCTGTCAGTGTAGTATGAATGCTCCTTCTTGCAAATGACACAGGTTGGAGGTAACACGTGCTGGCTCTTTGCCTTAATTCTTTCACCAGTGAATGATTTTGATCGCAGCATTATCTTTTCTGGAGATGGTCCTTCCTGCTGTACAGACGTAGAAGGCTCTGTATCGGTTGACGTTTTTGCACTCTTTTCAGAGCGTCGTTGTGCTCGATGTATTAAAGTTTTATTCGTAAATGCCGAATAACAACGTGAATGGTAAAAGTAACGCTCGTAACTTCCCAAGTTATCCTCTAACTCCTCGATAGGAATCACATTCGTGGTTTTCAAGGCTACGTCTTTCTGTCGTCCATCAAGTTGTAGCCATTGCTTTCTGCATTCCAGGAACCGTTTAAACGATGTTGGTGTAAAATTCCTCAGTGTTCCGCCGTCATCTTCGCAATGAATCAAACACGAATGCCTTTCTTCCATGTTTGTTGAGTTCGAGTTACTCGCCATATCTCTTTCTTAGTATACTTTATATCTCAAGTAACAACCACGAGAGAACTTAATGATGTAACTGATTTTTATTATTTTACACACCAGTATTTATACTCTTTATTACAAACAACAAATATTATTATTGGCCGGAGTAGTTCCTCTGTTTAAGCTATATATGGTACATAAGGAAATTTAACTAACGTCAATAACTGTTCCTTGGCTCTTAGCCGTGTGGGAACGGATACATTGGTAAACCAAACTACGCACATACTATTTCCTTAACATGTTTTTGTGGTTTATGAGCATGACTCAACAATATTTATTATCAAAACATTGGCAGTATTTTCATGTATGATTTTTAAACGAATCAAACACGAATGCCTTTCTTCCATGTTTGTTGAGTTCGAGTTACTCGCCATATCTCTTTCTTAGTATACTTTATATCTCAGTAACCACCACGAGTGAACTTAATGATGGAACTGATTTTTATTATTTTACAGAGCAGTATTTATACTCTTTATTACAAACAACAAATATTATTATTGGTCGGAGTAGTTCCTCTATATAACCTTGAGTTCTTAAAACTGACAAGATTTAGGTCTAAAACAGGCTTCTCCTATGTTGATACATAAGTGCAAAGCTGACAGTTTAGGTTTGCTCCCAAAATTTTCGACAGAATTCTTCATTTAAAACTTACATTTCACTTTGACTTTATTAAGAATATCGCTTTTTTGCCATCTTTCAAGATGGCGCCCTTTAATAAATTTGCCTCACCATGACAACGGCAGTTAGATCAAAGAGTTCCGCACCAAACAAAATGGCGACATTCAAAATTGAAGGAGCGAGGAATTTTGAAATTCAACCGCAAAATACTAAAAAACTGCAGCTTTTTAGAAGTGACAATAAAAAGAATATCAAACAGCAAGTGACTTTCTATCTATTTTGAAAATTTTGCGACCTTCCTTGAGGTGTCCAACGAAACTCGTTTTTAAAGCATATTTTTGAGGCACAGATCACGGACTATAAGTTATGATGAAATGTTGTTTATCATGTTTAAAGGTCGCTGATATGCATGGCAAACTTATTGAACTCAACGAAAGACTAGAAAAAATGTTGAACGCTCGTGAATATCAGCTAAGAATATAAAAAGAAGAGCTTGTCAATCTTAGAGGACCGGTATGTTCAGTAAAGACCCGTGTGTTCATTATAGTACAATAGATGTACAATATTGATCGATATGTACAATATGAACTGTTTGGTATGAATATGAAAAGCAGTAAATACTCTTTTCATTTTCTAAATATTTCTTAATAAAACTACGTATCTTCGTATGTTCTAGCTTCCTCAGGACAATAATCAAGATGAATGTTTATATTTGACGGAGTTTGGTCCAAATTTCATGTCTGTCAATACTCGTCCTTTAATTAACATTTGGATTCCATCTGTTTTTGTACAAGGAAAGTCTCCAAACATTCATCATTCTTATCAGGTATAAATTTTTCCATATATTTATCTCTAAAAAAAGTAAATAACTCTTCCGATGTGATGTTGATGGTTATCTGGACTAGGTTAGGGATAACTAGGGACTATATTTCAAGATTTATGATCTATATTTGGTATTTTCCTCATTTCAAATACATCACCCTTGAGAAAAGTGTTTGTGGTCATCGTATTTAAAAGATCATGTCGTAGTTTAAATTTACTGCTCAAATATTTCACTTTTCATATGTATATGTTTAGTGTTGAGAAAAATCACAAAACTACAGATTCATCCCGACAAGCCTGTTTCGTGATTGCTCACTCTTCAGGGAACTTTCCTTTAATCACGAAACAGGCTTGTCGTGATGAATCTGTAGTTTTGTGATTTTTTCTCAACACCACTTAACATATTTACGCTCTGCTCTCGGGCATCGAGCACTGTTTTATACGGAGAATCATCAAACATAAACTTCCTATATATAGGTATAGCATCTGCTCAGTGGTCCAGTTATTGTCGTCAATAAAGAATTTAACATTGTTTACTTCACCAGGTTTATATCCGTATCAAAGACGATGAATGGAATGTTTACAAACGATACTCGGATTTTTATGCCCTACATAAGAAGGTTTTTGATAAACATCATTACTTTAATTTTTTTAATCATATTGTTTTGCCGTAATGTACAATCCCTTCCTTTTCCTTTTTATGCACAGACAAGCAAGCAGTTTAAACCTGTTGCACAATTCACGTTTCCCGTGAAGAAAATTATTGGAAATCGTGACGTCAATTTTGTGGAAACACGTCGAAAACAATTGGAAAATTACTTGAGAAAATTGATCAATTATAGTCTGGGTGCTGTTCCAGAGTTAGGTGAAAATCCTTGCAAGAGTTCTTTGTTCAAATACTTTCCATTTTTCATGTGAGTAAACACG